AAAAAAACCCTGCCTGGGGACTATCAAAAAGGACTACTTGCCAAGGAAATGTAGAACTATTCCCCAGGAAATAAAGAAAAATGCTTTTGTTCTTGGAGTGGATGCCTTTTTAATCCACTCCAAAATTCTCATATTATTGGGGCTGCTGGGTGACTAAACAGGGGGAGGCATCACAGTACTTATATAGGGACTGATTCAACGTCCTCACTGAGACCAGTATCTGCAGCTGAGAGTTACCTGAGTGAACAAGAAACAACATGGAGAGTAAGAAAGAGAAATGGGAGCATGGTGACATGCTGTATTTCTCAAGAGTCCTCAATGCCATGCAAAGCAGATGCCCCACTTCTTGCCCCCTTCAGCCCTCCCATTTTTTTATCGTGTGGATCTCTCTGGTCCCTTGAACTGTCTCTGACTCTCAATCACCCATCAGAAAGCTGGGTGAGAGCCATGCCAGCAGAAAACTCCTCTTTGCTTTTTTGTTGCCTAGGTTAGTTCTCCACCAGTTTAGTCAGTTCAGTCTCCAAGGGTTCCATCCCCCCAAAGGGATCAAGAGAAGGAAAAGACCTAGTGCAAAAGAAGCAGCAGGAGCTGGAGTGAAGCGTTTTGGGTCCCTGGAGGAATGAGCCACCCCTTTCAGTGACAGGGAATTGCTGCTGGATGCAGCCTATATCAGAGAACTTCATCCTCAAGGTCACCACAGTGAAGAAGCCATTTGCAGAAAAATGAAATTTTGTAAAAAAAACCCACAAAGATATCAACAAGCAAAAATTGTACTGTTTCAGGCCCTATTTCTTATTTCCTTGGGAGTCCCACTGACTCTAGGCAGCAAGGTGTCCACTGTCATCAGACAAAGTAGCTGACTGAGAGCCTCAACAGCCAAATCAATTATTTCTACACCCTGTTCACGGAGATGTTGCTCTCTGGAATGAATGCTTTCTCTACACAGGTGCATATCACTGCAAGATGCTCTGACAAATATGTTAAAGAACCACCGAATTTAGTGTATCGCACAATACTGTGTCTCACAGTATATAACTTTGGAAAGTATCTTCAGCCAATGATGATAAGAGAGAAGCTTTTGTGTGGATTTTTATCTTAAAAATCCCTTTCATATTCAGTAATGAGGAAATAAATGAAAATTTAACAAATCTAAGCTAGCGGTGTTCTCCAGGGCTCAGTTTT